AGTGTGCCTAAAATGTTGCATCATTTTGCTGAGAGATCTTTTACTTCGTGGTAATCTTAGATGAGTAGTTTTATGGACAAAAACCACCAGGTCATTCAGTGTTCCCTTAGTGCTAATGTATAAGAGATGTTGATGTAACTGAAGTAATAATGTTAAGTCCTTAAAGTCATATTATTTTATTGTCATGACTGTATTTTAAGCTATTTTTATTTTTGTATGATATCTGATTTATATGGAATATGGTTGAAGTAAACTAAAGTATAAAATACTTGTTCATTTGTTTAATAGTAACTTAACATTGTATAATTCACATATAAAACTATGAATTGTAATTTTAAATGGTTTAAAAGCATGTAGAATAGCATATGTAGGAAGTATATTTCTCCTTTTTTTTTAATCAAGAAGCAAAGACGAAAAGGAAAAAAAAAGAAACAGGGCAGGGTTCGGTGGTTGAATCATCTGTCCCCACCAATGCCAAAACCAAATCTACGCCCTTGCTCACATCTTTTATCTCTAAAAGAATGGGGCCCATGTATATGAAATTTATAGTATTATTATTAAATATTTCAGTACTTTATAACAATTAGTGAAATACCTTTTCAAAACCCTTGAATTAAAGCTGAAGGTCTGCATTAAAATAACATCTTAACTTTTTCATTTAAAACCCACTGGGGTCATGTAAAGAAGCAAACTGACAAAAATTGTAAGCATTGCCCTTGTAAGCATTGAAGAAAAATTAAAGAGGTCTATAAAATGTATCCAATTATTTAACCAAAAGAATGGCTTAAAAAAAACTGGCTGAGGGAAAATAGAGGATTGTGTAATTTTTAAAAACATTTTTGTTTATTTTTGTTTTTCTTCTTGAGACACAGAAAAGGAGAGCAATAAAATGAAAGAAAGAATTTGAGTATCCAGTGAGGTTAGGAAGTGGCTACTCCCTCAGTGCTTTAATGAAAACTAGAGTATTGGTTTGAAAGTGGTGCTAATCACCATACATGCAACAGATTCCATTTTTGCCACTGCAAAATCATGCTGGTTCTTCTCTGACAACTGTCATAGCAGAACCCTTGACCTGTTGGGTGAAGCAAGAATAGCAGTGGTTACCTAGTTACAGTAGCGGTTTTTGATACGGGCGACACAGGCGGTTGCCTGGGGCGGCATCGTGGTGGGGGTGGCATCACGGGCATCGGCAAAAAATAAATAAATTTTAAAAAAATTGCTTGTACTCATGCTGCCCCGACATCAGTCAGCGCATATTGGAAATGGCATAGGCACCGATCGGTTTTTTTATCGCCCATTTGCTGGGAGTAAGGGCGCCCTCCATTTGCGAGGTGCGCCTGCTGCTTGCGTCACAGGGAGGAGAGGGCAGGGCGGCGGGGGTTTCTCCAGCTGGCTGGAGCAGCATCTAATAACCAACTCGCAAAATAGGCACCAATCGGTTTTCTATCGCCCATTTGCTGGGAGTAAGGGCGCCCTCCGTTTGCGAGGTGCGCCTGCTGCTTGTGGCACAGGGAGGAGAGGGC